GGAGTTTCTTAAGTAAAAGTATCAGACAAAAGAGTCATTGACATAAAATGTAGTTGAAGATTTTTTTCTGTGTTATTCCTTGATTGTAACATTGAAAAACATTTGATCCATAGTTACAGGAACATGTGAGCTTATAATGGTAGCTCAGTGGACCTCAGAGAATTTATCTTCAGAAAAAACTTGCCCTCCCTTGTCATTACAGAATCTTAGAAAGCTAGGCCTGGAGAGATGGCTCAGTGGGTTAGAGCACTGGCTGCTGTTGCAGAGGACCCGGGTTTGATTCCCCGGACCCACATGGTGGCTAACAACCTTTCCTAAACCCATTTCCACAGGAATCCAATGCCCTTCTCTGGCCTCCACAGGCATTGCATGAGACAGGTGTACTTACACACATGCAGGCAATACACTCATACATGTATAAAAAAATTAAAAGGCTAAGAGATTGGATGCCATTCTGTCAGTTAATCCACAGTTCTTTTCTGCATTCATTTCTTGTTCAAGTTTTATTTGCATACTGAGAATTGCCATAAAATAATTAAATGCATGCTTCTACAAAGAATAATAAAAAATATATTAACTCCTAGGATTATCTTAATTTCATTTGCTCAATCATGTCTTATTTTGGTAAAACATCTTCAAAAATTATTTTATTGATTATTTACTCCAACAGATCAGATATCTTGGTATTTTTGCTCATCTTTGCTTACGTTCCTATGTCTGAAGGGCTCCTTGTAAAGCTTGGGGTTTATTTGGAAAATGATTGCAAAACTACATTTCAAAAAATTATTAAAGGGTATGACTAAACTGTAGCTAAACTTCTCTAATGATGAAAATGATAATCTTTTCTAATTTTCCTCCTTGCCCACAGCTATGACAATGCTAGTTCTATTGCATTGCAAATGTGAAATTAAGACAAGTAACTACAAGGCAAATTATAATTAACTGAATGTTGTAGGTACTTACACATTTGCATTATCCATTTCATCTTCCATTTAGTATTTAGAAATTTCCTTTAAGAGAACTAAGGGCAACAGTGGGTGACTAGGGCAGGTGATGGACTTCATGGATCTGTTGTTGATTCCCACTATTTGCCTTATTTCTTATCAATATGGATCTTCTGAGTGCTGTCTTTCAACATCGAAATTTTGAGGTGAATAGATGGTATTCTGGAATTTTCTATTTTTTTCAAGCCAATTTGCAGAAGCCTTACGGTCAAATGCCTTTAATACTAGAAAACATTTTTAAATGTAAAACTTCCTTTGCTCCTTTTACATAATATTTAAGGTCCATCTTCCTCTTTAATCTCAGTTTCCACATACTTAATGAAAACAGCAGAATCACTTGCAATATTTTTGAAAAATTAGATGAAACATATGTTATATTAACATAATGACACACTCAAGGTAAGTAGAATTCCTACAACTTAATTAAAAATGTCTAAACACATATAAGTTTTATATATATATATATATATATGGAAGAAAGAAAACATACTCATATTCTAAAGTGAAATTAAAACCGTGAAGGTATATTGTGTGTTGCCTTTTTATTTTGTCTAATATTAAGATAGTTAATGCTACATAGGGCTGGGCAAGGCATAAACAATTGCACCCCATTTTGTACTGTTCATAGAGCGTAAAACCATTAAACTTTGGGGGAGGACATTTTGGTATTATATATGGACATAATAAATATTTATGTTCTTCAGCCTAGCAATTCTATATCTAAACATTTTCTCTTGCGCTTGTCTTTTTTAAAACAGTAAAGAAAAGCTATGTATGTGAACCCAAAGCAACATTCTTTATAAAATGAATTACTGAAAAATACCCAGGGATTTGAAAGGGATAGAAGGGACAAAAGGATTTCCTTTCATCTTTATTAATCTGATAAAAAACATCTGTGACTGCAGAAAGAGGTGAGAAGCTTCGAAAGGCAAGGGAGGGATACAGTAAACAGCAGACAGTGAAAGACTAGATCAAATCTAGAAATATTGAGCATTTGACAATTTTTTAATAATTTATTATTTTTATTTTATGAGTGCATTGTCTGCATATGTATAAGTGCATGTGTGTTGCCCAGTGCCTCCAGAGGTCAGAAGAGAACTTCAGATCCCCTGGAACTGGAGATATAAAACATTGTTAAATGCCATATGGGTCTTTGAACCTGGGTCCTCTGCAAGTGCAGCCAGTGCTCTTAACTTCTGAGCCATCTCTCCAGTCCTGAGCATTAGATTTAAAAAGTTAACATTAGACCTGATTTAGAATGGTGAGCAATGTGGTAGGCAACGAGACGATCTCATCCCGACCTTCTGGTTCCAAAAGAGACAAAATGAAAACCTCCAGAAAAAAACAGCAAAATCTAAATTTCAGATGGCAAACCTGAACTCTGGGATAAATCAGAGGCTAAGAAAGGGTTCTGGTGTCAGCCATACCACTGTGGAGGGAGCCTCTCCTGAATAAAATTCTACAGTTAAACTTCTCTGTTAGGAAGAATAGAGAGCTCAGGACTACTACATTCTCAAATTCAATACCATGCCCCTCCGTTGGCTAAGGGAGCAGAATGCCAAAGAACCATGGAACACTGGAGGAGAACTGACCCCAACACAAACTCAGTGGATATAAATATGCTCAGGCAAAGACCGCAAAATGCTGGTAGAAGATCAGCCTTGGGCCTTGGTAAATGCACATGTGGTACAATACAATCAGAGTCTCAGACATGCACACAGAATGCTGAACTCTCCATGACTCACAGGAAACAGCAGTTTCATTTGGAATACCCATAGATATCAGCAAATTGATAAACACCTTGGGGAAGGGGCTTTCAAGGGAGGGAAGATAGAAGACAGTGGTATAAAAGGGTAAAGGAGAAGGATGAAATGAGAAGAGCTAAATGGGGTGGGGGATAGGAGAGCAAGGTAGCGATGGGAACAAAAGGATAGATGGCTATCAATAAGGACCTTTTGAAAAAGCCATATGGAAACTGAACTTCTGTAGAATTTTCCTAAACTGTATACATATATACATATATGTA